TCTTAGGCTGTTCATCTCCGTGGCCTCCCTCCCTTCCTGGGTGCAGACGGCAGGACCCTGTGGGTGGAGGAAGTGCACACATCACTCCCCTGTTCTGCTGGTGAGAAGCCCTGGGGCTCGGGAGGTGAAGGGGGGTTCTGGGATTTGAACGGTGGCGGGGGGGACTGTTCCCAGTCCTGAGGAGTCTCCTGGGCAGCATCCCTTCCACAGTGCGATTGAGACCAGTGGCTAGTCCCATGGCCCATGGACGCAGAATTACCATTTGCAGGGCACACGGGAGCTGGTGGAGGACCCCAGGAGGTCACAAGCTGCTCCTGGCCAGCAGTGGTGTGTCCTGAAGCATGTTGAGGGCCCCTCCAGCTCTGAGCTCTTCAAGATGGCTTCCTGGAGGCCGCCCTGGGTGAAGTAGGCAGGAGCCAAACTCCAGATGGGGACGCAGTCCAGGAAGGCTGAGGGCGGGGTGGCCTTGACGCAGGGACTCTGAGTAGGGATCTCATCTCAGAAGCCCTTTGGTAAGTCCTGAGCCTGATCTCAGGCTTCAAGGCTGCGGCTGGAGCAGAGGAGCAGGTTAGGGGTCAAGGTCAAGGCGATCTGGAAGCCAGGGCTCGTCAGTGTGGTGGACATCAGCAGAGCACTGGGTGGACAGCTTGGTTGGTGGGCACCATGAGCAGACGCTGGAGCGACTGAACTCTGTGTCAGAACCCTGGGGCCATTTCACCAAGCCCAACCGGGCCTAAGCCTTGGAGAGACCCAGGGACAGCAGTTTTACTGTCCCAGGTGACCCCGTCTTCCCGCTAAGTGGGGGCGCAGGCCATGGGTGCTACCCTGAGGCATGAGTGCAGGGTGTGACCTGGAATGCCCACTAGCAGCCCTGGCCTGCCAACTGCCCGGGGCGGAGGCCTGGCCTGGCACAGAGCAGTGTGCGCTGGGGAAGGCGCTGCCTCCGTGGTGCGCCTGCTCCCCTCCCCTGGCGGACACCCACCTGTGCAGACGGTCCCTGCCCAGGGCTGTCCCAGGCCGTGCCGTGTCACACTGCCCCGCTGCAGTCCTTCCCTGGCAAACAGGCAGGCTCCGTGGGGCAGGCCACAGAGCCAAGGCTCGCGCCCCCACCCCACCCCAGGCAGCCCTCACCACTGGTTTCAGGACCTCACCCTCCGCACTCAGGAGAGGAGGGCGCTCAGGCTCCCCAGGTCCCCAGGGATATGGGGTCGCATTCTTCCTCATCCCCCTGGGAGTGAGGTTACCTTCCTCCTCCTCCCCAGGGATGTGGGGTTACATTGTTCCATGTCCCCAGGGATATGGAGTCACTCCTGCTGTCCCAAGGGATGTGGGTCATGCTCCACAACATCCCAAGCTGTGGGTCACGCTCCCTGACATCCCCAGAGACGTGGGTCACACTCAACAACATCCCTAGGGATGTGGGTCATGTTCCACAACGTCCCCAGAGCCATGGGTCACACTCCCTGATATGTCCCAGGAGAGTGAGTCTAGGTGGGAGGACTAGGTAGTGTGACACCAGGGAGTCACTTCCTTTGACAGATGTTCACAGAGCACGTGTGATCGGCCAGCCCCATCGAGATGCTGTGTGTGCAGAGCTGGGGGTCTGTCTGCACTCCTGGGGTCTTCCCTTTGAGGTGCTGTGTGCAGAGCTGGGGGTCTTCTGCACTCCTGGGGTCTTCCCTCCTAGGTGCTGTGTGCAGAGCTGGGGGTCTGTCTGCACTCCTGGGGTCTTCCCTTTGAGGTGCTGTGTGCAGAGCTGGGGGTCTGTCTGCACTCCTGGGGTCTTCCCTCCTAGGTGCTGTGTGCAGAGCTGGGGGTCTGTCTGCACTCCTGGGGTCTTCCCTCCTAGGTGCTGTGTGCAGAGCTGGGGGTCTGTCTGCACTCCTGGGGTCTTCCCTTTGAGGTGCTGTGTGCAGAGCTGGGGGTCTGTCTGCACTCCTGGGGTCTTCCCTTTGAGGTGCTGTGTGCAGAGCTGGGGGTCTGTCTGCACTCCTGGGGTCTTCCCTTCTAGGTGCTGTGTGCAGAGCTGGGGGTCTGTCTGCACTCCTGGGGTCTTCCCTCCTAGGTGCTGTGTGCAGAGCTGGGGGTCTGTCTGCACTCCTGGGGTCTTCCCTTTGAGGTGCTGTGTGCAGAGCTGGGGGTCTTCTGCACTCTGGGGGTCTTCCGTGCACTTCCTCACTTCAGCAAGCTGTCTTGCTGCTCAGAGGTTGCAGTAGCTCCCCGGTAGGCTTCCCACCCCTATTCTTACTCTCACTGGGCACTGTGCCACAGGAGGTCAGAGGAGCCCCTCTGCAGAATGACTCCCAGGTGTCACACTGCCCGGTCCTTCCACCCACCCTCGCTCTCCTGGGACTGGACCTCCAGCCTGGGCCTGAACCAAGCTGCCTACAGCCACAGGCCCATTCACCCTCCGTGAGCCTCGACCAGCTACTCTCGGTTCATTAAAGGGATCCTCTTCTCTCCCACTTCCAGATCCCTGGGAGCTGTTTGCTCTCCTACAAGGCACTTCCCCCTGACTCTGCGTTTTAATAGCCTACTTGCCATTCCCTCTCCAGAAGGGCAGTGCATAGGTGTGAGGTGTCTCTAGTGCCTAGCTCGGGGAATGCTGCTCAGAAGAGGGGTGACTCTAGTTGACCTAGCAAGCACATGACCTGTTGATTGCAACGCAGTTTGCTCTTTGCTTGAGAACGTCTTTGAGTTCCCCTAAGCCCTCCTTTCCTCACCTCCTGAAGGAAGGAGTAATACCTGGCTTGTGGAGCTGTTTTGGGCTTACAATAAATCATGTTTACAAGCCACCCGGGAGGTGCCAGCCAGCCAAGAGGGAGCCACTGTCCCTGCTGCCCCCAGGAGGAAAGGTTCTCCCCACTTTACGTTACTTGTGTGTGGGTCCAGGGCTGGGCTCCAGGTTGCTGGTACCTTCCCACCTCTCCGTTGCGGGTGAGGCTGCTGGAAGGCAGGATGAGGCTGCACTTGCCCTCTAGTGAAGAGAGGTGGGAAGAGGGGAATGCACCGGAGCCTCGGCACGCTCTGTGGGGCAACCTGCTCATCTCTTTAACACCTGGGCCTCTTGGACAACCTCACAGCCGACTTTTGGCTACTGGCATCTTTGCTCTGTCCTCTGAACCATTAATGAAAGTGGCCAGTCCAGCTGGGGCTCACCAAGTTGGCCAGCGGCTGGCTCCATGTGGGCCTCCATCTTCTGCCTCCAGCTCAGAGGATCCTGCTTCAAAGACCATCCCAGCTGCCTCCCCCGGGGCTGAAGGGTCTGTCCCTGACACTTCTCAGCCTCGAGTGTGTCCTGCTTACTGTTTGACGCACTGCTCGGTCCCTGCTCTGGGCGGTGGCCAGCACACCCAGTGAGGAGATTCAGGTAGCCAACGTGTACCAATGTGAGCAGCAGAGCTTGGACACATGCACGTCACTGGATTGTGACCTGAAATATTTTTAGAAAGGGTTCCACACTTTCCTGTCTAGGCCTTAACTTCACTGTTCATTGTGGACACAAGTATCAGACCACCCACCCTACACCCACCCTACACTCACTCCTCAGTGCTGAGGAAGCAGGTCCGTGTGCGTCCCCTCCACCTAAGTGACCGAGACACCCAGGGACCACTGATGCTCTCTGGCTGGGAGCCCTTCCTGTGGCGAGCTGAGGTGCTTTTGGGGAGGTAGATCTAAGGGTGCTTGTTTCTCTTCTATTTTTATTATTCCTTGAATAAAACATCATATACATTTTCTTTAGTAGAAAATTTTTTAAAATTAAGCAAGCTCTGGCCGAGGCATCCCCCAGCATGCTCGGGAGACCGCAGGAGGAAGGTCTCAGGGGGACCCATCCCGTGGGCAGGGAGGTTGGACTGGAAGCTGCTCCACTCAGGTCTTCTCCCTGGTGAAGAGGGAGGTGTCCGTGGAGGCAGGATCCAGGGCCGAGTTCTCCGAGGGCGTGGTGGCTGCGGGCTCAGGGTCTTATTCAGTGGGTTTCAGAACCACAGTAGCCGACGTTCAGATCCTGGTCTGCTGCTCGTTGGCTGTGAGCTTGGGGAGGTCTCCCTCCTGGGGGGTGACTCTTACCAACCCTGACAGCTCCCCAGTGGGGTGGAGGGGAGACGGCCTGGGCTGGGCAGAGAGCCGGGGCTGGGACCTACGATTAAAGATGGTGTAAAAGTCGCTCATTGTCTTGATCCCTTTTCTGTTGTAATCATATGAGCCGCGAATGGCCAGGTTAGACAGGAATAAGGTTTATTTTGGCTCAGGGTTCCTGTCCAAGGTCCGATGGCACCTGGTGACTTCTTGGTGGCGGGGCATCCTCTGGCCTCTGCCCACCTCCTCTGAAAGGCCTGCCCCTCGACACTGCCACAATGCCAATGGAGCTCCCAGCATGTGGGACACTGGGGACCCATGCGAGCACACTCACAGGATTCAGGAGTTTCAAGTCTCAGGAACATGGGGAGCACTGGTGATGTCGAGGCTGGGAAGCCAATCAGCCTTTTCCCCAAGATTTCAAGATGAGACTTCTGACATCTATGGCGACCAGAGGCAGAGGGCCCACCAATCAGGGATTTATATCCAATGCCCGAAGTCCGTGCCTCCCGAACACCCCCTTTCATGTCCGACATACATGTGGGCTGGCGTGTGAGGCTCCCGAGACCCTGAGGGGCAGCGGCATTTTGTCAGAGGGGGGCAGTGGGTGGTGGTGGAGGGCAGCCTGACCTTGGAGGAAGGGCAGGCATAATGACCAGCCGACGCCAAGGGCCTCATGAGGAAGCTCAGGCAGCTGGGCAGGGCAGGGCGACTCAGGTGAGGGCCGCTGTCTCCAGAGCAGGAGGAGCCTGGCTCCCGCCCAGGGAGCTCTCCGGACAGCCCAGAGTCCCCCGCCCCCACAGTGCCCCAGGAGGCCCCTGCTGCTCCTGTGAAATCCCATTTTCTTGGTTCTTCTTATCTCTGAGGTGACAGGGTGACATTTTGAAAATCCTTTATGAATTCTAGGGGGAACTAGAAGGGAAAGAGTACAGGTTAGAAGTAGCCAAGTTCCCAGAGAGCTCGGTTTCCTGCTAAGCGGCTGCTGACCCTCCCTGCTGGCCCTTCCTGCTCCTGGACTGCTCTGCAGGCCGCCTTCTCTGCCCTCAAGGCTGCAGGCTGTCCCTTGCAGCAGGGTGAGGTCCTTGGGCTCCAGGCTCCTGCCTTCGGTGGGTCAGGCTGGCGCGGGCGGAGGTGGGGAGCAACGGGAGGGAAACTAGGTGTCTCTGGGGAGCTGCTGTCCACCCACGTCTCCAGGCAGGAGGCCCCTAGGCATGCTGGTCTCACCCCGACCTAGCTGCAGTCCACACGTCGTCCTGGCCTGTCCCTCAGTGTCATGGCTCCCCGACTGCCTCTGCTCGGCCCCTCAGTCTTTCTTGGTTCACCCCAGGGCCACTGTCTTCAGCCTTTCAGTGGCCAGCTTACCACCGCCTGCGTCCTTCAGAAACAAGGTGGGCCTCTCTAAGGCTTCCAAGCTGTCACTAGCCCATGCTCCTGGGCTGGCCAGTCGATGGAATGCACATCTCTTTCCCCTCAAATGAAATTGCGTAGGACTCTTCCCCTGGGTCCAGGTCCCGCCTGAGATTCAGTGTGCACCTGATTCTCGCCCATGAGGTCATGACGCATTTCCTCTTTTCCAATTTGGGGTCTGTCATTGGAGCGGTAAGAACGGGCTCGTCGGGAAAGCATGTTCTCCATGCAAGGGGGGGTGGTGGGGGTCCTCCCATACAGCCTCAGCATAAGGCTGGCCCCCAGGAGCATGCAGGAGCTGCAGGGTGCTCTCCCCCAGTGCTTCCAGTCGGCAGAGTGGTCTGCCCACTTACCTTCCCGCTCAGCGCCTTCTGAGCATTTCAGGAGATGTTCTCCGAAGTCTGGAGGCACAAATTAAAAATAAATAAATAAATAAGATTTCCTGCTCTTCTAGCATTGCAGCCCTGGGTAGGGAGGCAAACCATTAGCTATGGACATTATCCACTGCTCCGTGCTCTCCACTCAGGGCTCACACTCACAGGCACAGTGACGACCGAGATCCGGCTGACTGCCCTGCCCATGGCTGGAGTCTTAACAGCGCGTGGCGATCACGCTGCTGATCAATCTGGGTTTGCAGAAGACTTAGCTGTGCTTCTGCTGCTTCTGTGGTTAATGCCTGTGTGTGCTTGTGTGTGCCGTTCCTGTGTGCTGGGGTCTCCTCTGGGTTTCCTCAGCTCCGTCCTTACCTGCCAATGTTCTCTTCACCAGCCTTTGAACACCTGAGCTGGTTCTGTGTCCTGCTGCAGACTGGGCACAGGCCGCTGCCCTGACTCCGCGGCCCTGGGGGCCAGGTGGCCATTCACTTGTTCTCTGTGTCATATCCGCTGTGTGTCTTGACCTGAGCCTGGCCTGGTCATGTGCACAGGCCTGCAGGGGTGTGCAGTGAGGCTTCTGGACATTTGTTCCTGAGATGGCAGCGAGTGCAGAACTCTGCAGAGTTCTGGGGCTGGGGTGGGAGGACGCGAATGGCCACGGCCTTCTTCCCAGCTCTCCCCCAGCTCCGCTCCGCAGCTGCCAGTGAGGGCACGCAGAGCTGCCTCCCGACAGAGAGGTGCGGCTTCCGCTTTTCCTTCCTTCTCTGCTTCTGCCTCCTGGTGCCGGGGTGCAGTGCCAACGTGTCCAGGATTGTCTGGACAGGACCTCTCCCCCCAGATGCTGACAGCAGAACCCCCAGGGGTGTAACTGCCCACCGAGCAGCTAGAGCCTCAGGCACAGGGAGGTTAGCTTACAGGAGGGAGGCTGGCAGCAGGGAGCCATGAGAGGGCACCTTCTTAGGGTCACCACGTGGGCCATCTTCCAAGGTCTGACACACTCGTTCCTGAGAAAGGGCTCTCTTGACAACCCTGCCAGGGCAGTGGTGGGATTCTCAAAGAGAAACCGAGGTAGGGAGGCCCCAGAGAGGCTGGGTGGGGGGAGACAGGGAGAGGCCTGGCGCTGGGGCGTGGCGGGAGGGGGGGCAGCCTCAGGAGGAGGGCACGCTGTGACGCCCCCTTTCCAACTTGGCCAGGGCAGCAGGCCCAGCACTAAGCTTCCAAACTCCATGGAGAACCACGGGAGAGAAACAGCCAGGGGCGCACAGCATGGACGCAGCACCTCCAGCCCTGCCAAGGAATGGAGTGGCCGCAAGAGGGTGATCGTCCAGTGTGGGAAGCCATCGGGGTGGGCCACCTGGGAACCACAAAGGAGCCATTGCCTTGCACATAGGACACCAGGGACCTTGGTCTCAAGGGATAGCATATCAGGATGCCAGGGACCCTGGTCTCGAGGGACAGCGCCCTCAGGAAAGAGTGTGACAACAGGAAACTCTTCAACATGTTCAGATACCGCACTCCGGCTTTCCAGAAAGTTCTGATGGCACCCATCTGGCCTGTTGTAAACTCCATGGTGTTATTGTCCCCAGGTCCCCAGCTCCTCTGAACCCTGAGTCACCCTGGCTGCCTTCTCCAGCCCCTAAGACCCCCTCAAACACCCTTCCTTCCTCCTCTTCCAAGGTCTCTGTCAGGGGCACTGACCTGGCCTCTCCAATTTGTGCATGAACACAGAACCCTCTTTAAAAGCCCAGGGAAGGAAGGGGAAAGCTACAAATTTTGGGGGAGGGGGGCAGTATCTGGGACTGAACTCAGGGGCACTCAACCACTGAGCCACATCCAGGCCCTATTTTGTATTTTATTTAGAAACAGAACTCACTGAGTTGCTTAGGGCCTCACCTTTACTGAGGCTGGCTTTGAACTCGCAATCCTCCTGCCTCAGCCTCCTGAGCCACTGGGATTACAGGTGTGGGTCACCACACCTGGCTAAAGCTGCAAATATCGTCTGTTTAATTTTGTTCCATTTTAGAGGCTCCAAGACTTAAGAAGGAGGAGGGCCAGCCAAGCCCTCAGCCTCAGGGCCCTTCAGTCCTGCCAAAGGTCCACGGCTGTAGGACCAGAGCAGCTTCCCAGGTGCCGGAGGGGGGCGGGTGGCTCAGAAGCTCGTGTCAGGCAGGAGACCGAGGGCTGATAGGAATGGCAAGGTCCTGTGCAGGTGGCACTGTGAAAGGTGTGTGAGCTGCTGGCCTCCTGTCCTGGCCTCCCGAGCAGGGCCAGTGGATGACGGAGGACCACACACCCCCTTGTCAAGAGCAGAATCTTTTGACCCCAGGTGTCACCGAGTCACCGAGCCTTCTGCAGGAGTGGCCCAGGGTCCTCTGACCCCTGGGGACTGCTTTCCTGCCTCTCCTGAGACCACCTTCCCTGGGGGTTCACTGACAACCCTCTCTTCAGAGCACCCATCTGATAAGGATCCCCTCCTCCCACCCCCAGGGAGGCCGGTGCCAGGAGACCAGGGGCATTTTATTTGGGGGAGCCTACTCCTGAGAGGATAAGGAAGGGAGCCTTGAACAAAGGGGGCTCTGGAGGCCATGTGGGGGTGGGCGTGGGGGTGGACCCTCCCCATTCCTTCCCGAGAACTCTGCTCGTTAACTGCGATGGCAGATGGGAAACGCCTGGGCTCCCAAATTCTATTTAAATATCTCGGACTGACTCTGGGGAAGCAGACCGCGCTTCCATCCAGCAGAGGAGTCCACGGCAAATCCCCTTCTCCACGCCTGTGCGCCATTCGAAACGCTGGTGTGTCGAGTGAAGTCCCCGCGGAGTCACGGAGCCAGGGCCTCCCCAAGACAGGCAGAAAGCCTGAGCTTCCTGTGCTCCCAACCAAGGACACAAGGAGGGGTCAGAGCCTGCTGCAGGCCAGGCCAGGCCAGGTCCAGTCCTACGGCATGAGCGTGGCTGGAGGCAGGCTGGCCCCGGGGCAGAGGGAGACAGTGTGCCCTGAACTCACGGTAGGCCCCGGGTTCGCCTGGCCTCGTCCTGCAGGGAGCAGGCAGGGGACAGGAGACCTGGCATGGGGGGGTGTCTGATCCTCATGGTGAACACAGCTCAGCAGATGCCAGTCTGCCAGAAGGACAGGAAGGGCCTCTGAAGGTGACATTGAGCAGGGAAGGGCTCGCTGGCTTGTCCCAGGGACTCTCGGCTCCGGCATCTCACCATGGGCAGGACCCTGCAGGAGCTTTCTGGTGGTCCCGAGGTGGACAGGAGGGAGCCCCAGGGGCCTGGCCTCCTCGATCCTGCTCGGGCTCTCCTTCCAGGGCCTCCACAGGAAGGAAGCGGGAGACAGAGGCTGAGACCGTGCATGCAGCCAGCCTTGCAAGGCCACCAGCTGCAGGATCGGCTGCCTGGGGGCCCAGACTCAGCTCGGCCCTGTCCTGCCTGGGTCCCTGCTGCCCTCTGAGCAAGTGTGCTGCTGGCCCCACTGGCCTGCGCAGTCCTGGGTCTGCAGGCCACACACTCTGCACCTGTGTCAGAGGCAGGACTGCAGCCCCCCGTGGGCCTATGAGGGGTAACGGGGCACAGGGGTCAGATGCCCGGCTCATGACAAATGCTCCCTCAGGCTGAGCCAGTGTGGCATCCCCTGCCGGCAGCCGACCTCGCCTCAGCTTCCCGGAGGCCATAGGGACTGATCAGCCTGGGCTCCGAGGCACGGCTGGTCAGTGCCCACCAGGGTGGGAGGCCTGATGTCTGTTGAGGGCTCACCCTGGGAAGAGGAGGCCTCTCCGTCTGGTGCCTGCTGCCCTGCAGAGGACTGGCCAGGAGGGACAGCTGTGGACCTCTCATGGCGCTCTTCAAGGTTCCCTCCACGTGACTACAAAGGGCAAATAAATCAGCGTGTGAGAAGACACAGAGGGAGAGGCGGGTCCTGCAGAGAGCAGGCCTTCCCGCAGGCCTCCAGGGTCCCTGGAGGGAGCAGCCTCTCGGTGGGGCCAGGCCAGCCCTCACAGGGCTCCTTTCCAGAAGCAGCGTGGCCTTCCTTTGAAAGACGCTTCAGCTCTCCACAGGGTCCCTGCCACCTCCCCTCCTGGATGCCCGTGCGGCTGTCAGGCCAATCAGTTGGTCTGGCAGCGCGGCCGTCCAAGACGCAGAGCTCAGCTGACATCTCCGAGAACCGGGAGCTTCCAGCTGGGCACCTGGGTCGGCTCAGTGTGGAGCACAGGCAGGCGCCAGGCGTGCTGTCAGCCGAGCGGTGAAAAGGGACAAGCTGCTGTGTCAACAGTGACGTGCCGGCTTCTGCTGGTCTTGCAAAGCTCTCTGCAGAGAAGTGACTGGGGCTGACACGGCGGCAGCGGCTGGTGTCGGGGCTGGATTGAAATTCATCCAGCTCTGCCTTGGCAGGGTGATTTCCAATGCTAATTCTCGGCGAGCCAGGCATGAAATATATTCACAGGCGCTGCTCACGAGGGCCCTTCGGAGCGGCTTGAGGTACCTGTGATGGAAACATCTGTGCCACTTGCTTTGTGCCTTTGATTCCCTTGGTCTCAATTATGCAGTCAAAGAACCTCTGGGCAGGAGGGGGGGGGGCTTGCCTGGGTCCCCCTTCCCTTCCTGATAAGAGCACGTGCAGGCTGTGCTGAGCAGGGGAGCAGTAGGGAGGGGCTGGCTTTCATCTTCCCAAAGACACAGCCCTGCTCATGCAAATGAGCTGTCTGAGAGCATCCCACTCCTTGAGCGGCATCGCCAGCCATCCTCGCTGCAGGGCGAGAGAGCGAGCGAGCGAGCGCAGGGCGAGGGCTGAGGGCACCTCTGTGGGCAGAAGTAACTGATAGGGCTGCGGGCAGGCAGCAGGGGGCGGTGGGGGCCGGGCAGGGCCCTCTGGGCAGGCCCTCCTAGTGCAGTGCGTGGCACGTGTGTGCTTTCCCACGTTGTGCTGCTTTCCCGTGCTGCTCACTTGGGAGGCCTTGTCTCTGCCTGCAGATCTCTGTCTTTGTTCTCTTGCGGAGAATGTGTGCCAAGCAGGGCGCACCCAGAGGTGACCTGTGGTCCCAGCCTCAGAGAGGAGGCACTGACAAGCCCGGGATCCAGGTCCTCTGAGCTCAGAGGAGAGAGACCCTGCATCGCTCTCGTCCTCTGGGGGCTGCTTGTCTGAGGGCTGACCGTTGACCAGGACTCTCCTGGAGCAGACCCTCGCCGGTCTGTAGATGCTGCCCTGAGCCTGGGCTCTCATGTAGTAGCTAATGGCTTTGCAAGAAGCACCCATCAATTCCTGAGGCTGCCCTACGTGTCCAGTGGTTGTGGGAAGCATAGAAAGTGCCCCACTCAGTTACTCAGAAAGCGAGAGTCCATAAAGTGGCACCAGAGGTGGACCTGGTCACTTGGGGTCTCCTCTCATCCTGGACGAGGGAGCATGGACTCCAGCAGACCTGGTCCCTGGGTTGTGACTGGCCCACCTGTGGGGGGGAAGGCTGCTGCTTCACCCCAGTGCTCGGGTGGGGTGGGGGTTTGCCAAGCAGAGGTGCGCCCCCGCCTGGTGCGTGCTCCAGCCCCCCACCACCTCCTGCATGCTCTGTGCGTGGTCTGTGCACGGGGGTCTGGGCCTTCTCTTCCCTGCGTCCACTCTCCCTGCACCGGGACCCTCTGCCCTTCTGCACTGTGCCCCTGGGCTGCTCACCTTCTGCTTTCTGACCAGGGCTCATCAGTGGGCAGCCCTGGTAGGGAACAAAGCTCAGAGGCTGCGTTTGTGCCCTTCCCTGTGGGGACCCCAAGCTGCCCTTCAGCCAGGTGCGGCCCTTGGCCCCCTGAGCCAGCTGGTTGTGGCTCTGTCAGAGGCACCCGACTAAGCAGGAGAAGTGACAGAGCCTTCTTCCTGTTCTGGGGGCAGAAGCCGGTCAGCAAGCTGTGGGGCACCATTGCCCTCTGGGGGCTCTTGGGGTGAGGACTTCCCCCTTTCCAGGTCTGAGGACCCCTGTGTTCCTCTGCGTGGGTACCTCTGCTGCCACAGCTGCTGGGGGCTTCAGCTCTCTCTCCCACTCTGCTCTGTCCCCATAAATTTCCTGTCCTGAGTCAAATTCCTTTTTCTCTCTGGGGACCCTGGACTCTTGGAGACACCTCTTCTCTGGACATTACAAGGACCGCTATGTGTCCCTGGCCCAGCTGGTAATCCGAGTGGTCTTCTGCATCTCAAATGATCTCCTATCGCCCTGCAGTCCCCTTTCCACGTCAGGTAGAGGCACAGGTTCCAGGATGGGTGTGGTCACCTCTGGGTGCTGTTCTGTCCACTGCAGCCTCTGCCCTTGCTGCCAAGGGCAGAGCCTCTGGCCTCTGCTGAGGCCGTGGTTCCGCCCATGGCCCCTCAGGCCTCCTGAAATGGCATCTTCTTATCTGAGTTCAGTCCAAGAGTGCCCCCCAATTCCACTGTTTTCTTTCTTTCTCTCCCAGAACTATGGGTGGAGGCAGGCACCTCTGTCCTGCAGTGACCCTGGGAGCTCAGAGGCAGTGCACACAGGCCAGGCCCAGGGACTGAGTGAGGGGCATCTCTCCCCTTCGCATGGCCCACTCCGCTTGCTCTGAGCCCCAGCACCCCGCGGCAACACCCGGCTGTCCTCAGTCCAGTCTGCATAGCACCGCCCCCACTGCACCCGGAGGCAGGGTCCAGGCCTCTCCGCCATGTCTCCTGTACTGCGTGCATGGCGGCCCTGTGGCCGACTCGGGCTGCCAGTGCTTGGACAGGGTGTCTCAGTTCCTCCTGCTTCTTTCTGGCTTGCTGTGTTTTGCTCAAGTTACTATTTACCCACTTGCTGGGGTAATGGGTGTGACCTGGCCATCTTTCTGCAGACCAGAGCTGTGGGAACAGGGCCTGAGACCCACCCCGAGGAGGGGGCGCAGGCAGGGACCCAGGCTGGTGGGTTGCCTTGACATCCCAGAAGCCGCTGGTACCGCTGGGCCTGTCCCCATGGGCCATTCTCCCTCCTTCTCCTCCCCAGGGCCCTGGAGTTCTCTGGACACCACCTCCGATTTCAGAGAACTCGGCAGCCTGCTAAGGGGTCAGCAGTGGATGGCCAATAAGGGGAAGCTTGGCACTAAAACGGAGAGGGAGGAGGGGGAATTCTCAGCAGAGACGGGGCAAGGGATCTCTGCCCCGAGGGGACGCGACCGCTGGGGGCCTGTACCCGTCCCAGGTGACACAGCCCCCTGTGTCCACTCTGTCCCTCTGCCCTGCAGGTCAGTCTCTCAGGTGCACCCCGCAGGTGCTGACTCTGGCTCCCACTCTGCCCGCCAGCCTTGCGGTTCCCAACTCCTTTCACCCTCAGACCCACAAACCAAGGAAAAGAGCCCAACGTGCCCGAGGCTGACGTCTGTGCCGGGCTGTGCAGAGGCCACCCTGGACACGATTTTCCTCCTTGGGCCTGAGCCTGGCAGCCCCTGATCTGTCACCTGGAGAGGCCTGTCCCTGCTTGGGAGGGTCAGCCCAGCTTGGGCCATCCCACATGAAGGTTGCTCGAGACAGCGCCTGGCGGGGGACCTACCAGGCCGTGCAGCTCAGGAGCTCTCCTGGGGACGGCTGCTCACAGGAGAAGCAGACACGCAGGTCGGGGAGCGGCGGGGACACTGGCAGCCTGCTCCTCCTGACTGCCCAGGGGACACTGCCAGGAAGCGCCCTGACCCTAGGAGCAGCCAGGGTGGGTCCTGTCCAGAGCTAACCCTGAGCACAGGTTTGTAGGCAATCAGTGTATGTGTGTGTGTGTGTGTGATATGTGTTGTATGTGGTGTGTGTGATATATTGTATGTATGTGTGTGTTGTGTGTGTTATATGGTATATGGTGTGTGTGTATATAGTAGGTGGTGTGTACTGTGTGTTGTATGTATGTATGTGTGATGTGTTGTATGTGTGTTGTGTGGTGTTCATGTGTGGTGTATGGTGTGTGTATTGTATGTGTGTGTTTGTTATGTGGTGCGTGAGATGTGTGCTGTGTATGTATGTATGTGAGATGTGTTGTATGTATGTTGTATGTATGTGTGTGTTGTGTGGTATGTGTTGTGTTGTATGTTTGTGTGTATGTGATGTGTTCTATGTATGGTGTGTGTTGTATTGTGTGCTGTGTGGTGTATGATGTGTGTCTGGTGTGTGCTGTGTGGCATGTGTAATGTGTTGTATGCATGTGAGTATGTGTATGCTGTGTGGTGTGTGTCTGGTATATGCTGTGTGCTGTGTGCAGTGTGCAGTGTGCTATGTGATGTGTTGTATGCATGTGTGTATATGTGTGCTGTATGCTGTGGGCTGTGTGCTGTGTGCTGCTGCTGTCTACTGCGTGCTGTGTGCTGTGTGCTGTGTTTTATGCATGTGTGTATATGTGTGCTGTGTGCTGTGTGCTGTGTTTTATGCATGTGTGTATATGTGTGCTGCGTGCTGCGGGCTGCGGGCTGCGGGCTGCGTGCTGCGTGCTGCGTGCTGTGTGATGTGTTTTATGCATGTGTGTATATGTGTGCTGTGTGCTGGGTACTGTGTGCTGTGTGATGTGTTTTATGCATGTGTGTATATGTGTGCTGTGTGCTGGGTGCTGCGGGCTGCGTGCTGCGTGCTGCGTGCTGCGGGCTATGTGCTGTTGAGGATGCAGCCCGGGGCCTGCCATTGCTCTGTGCCCTCTGGGAAGGAGGGTGTGGGTTGTCTCTGGCAGCTGGGGAGAGGCCACCCGTCAGTTCCAAGATGCACGAGTTCTCTTCCACAGGTGAACGCATGGCACGCCTCATTCCGCAGGGCCACCATTCGAGGTGGCCACTGAGGTCCCTCCGTGGTGGCATGGCAGGGAAGGATGCCACCGCACACCTCACTGTGCGCAGGGGCTGGGGCTGTGGAGGGGCAGACAGGTCGCCGCTGACCTTCCCTGCTGGGTCGTGGCTGCGTGACACACCTGAGGTAGCAGGGGCACGAGTTCCCTTCCACAGGTGAACGCACGGCCTGGTTCTTCGTGAGGAAACAGCGCTGATGCCGGCCAGCCCCGCCAGGCCAGGGAGTGCCAGCGGTGAGGTGGGCAGCAAGGAGAGAGGTGTGGCTAGGGTCTTTCAGGTGGAGGGAGGGTGACAGCACAGAGCACTGCCTCAGGCAGCTCTCAGCCGGTAGAGCACCTGACAGACACCTGCAGTCCCTGGAGGTCCCAGGGAGAGGCTGGGAGAGTCCAGTCTGGGCGGCAGGGAGAAGCTTCATGTGCTTGGCATCTGGGGGGCTTCTGCGTCTCCCACTGTCCAGGACACGCCCCAGTCGCAGAGGGAGGAGCAGAGTCAGTCCTCAGCCCATCTGATCTGGCTCCAGTGTTTACTGCCCACTCACCACCCCGGGGCCCCCTCAGCACGGGCCAGCTCCTGCAGGCAGAAGAGGGTGCTGGATAGAGGGGGTCACTGTGGGCTCAGGCCCCCTGTGGGTTCCCAGGATGTGGAGAGCCTGAAGAGGAAAGAAGGGGTGCTTTGACCCCAAGTCAGCTCTAGTTAAAGTGGGTAATTTTGAGACATTTATGGGCTTCTAAAAAGGTGGCACCTGCTGAGTGCGGCATGCCTTGAGGTCACCTGGGGGAAAGAGCGTGCCCTCTTAGAACGGATGGCTACCTCACCAGTGCAGCCCTGGGGTCAGCCGATGCCTTTCAGGGGAGTCTGCTGAGCCCCGATTTAGCCGGCTGTTAAGAGGCCCACGCAGGCCCCTGCACCGTGTGCGTGCCGCGAGCTCCGGTGTGTGAACCCGCCGGCAGCTGTGCTGGAGGAAGCCCCGGGCCTCGCTTGGGTCCTGCCACTGTCAGCAGGTGGACAGGGCTGCTGGAGCCGTGGTGTCCCTCTCCTGGCACCCTCGCCCATCCTGCTCTTGCCCAGGGATGGTCCTGTTCCCAGGGCCAGGAGGTCAGAGGACACGGGAGGGCTCCAAGTGCGGCTGCAGATACATTCCTCTCTCAGCCCCCCTGGCATTTAATAATGCAGACGGAGGCTCTCGCCCTATGAATTATTAACCGTCCTTCCTGCACGTCCAAGGACGGCACGGAGATGAGCTCGCAGGCCGACGGGGGGCTTGAGAGCGCCGCGGAACCCGCCCTCCTCCATGCTTCTGCTCAGGGCCTGCTGGGTGGCACTCCCCGTGTCTCCTCAGACTGGGTGGCCTGTGGCTGCCTCCTTCCATTCCGCCTGTGTGTTGGTGTGCCCAGTGCCAGAGAGGCGAAGGCCCGAGTGCACAGGAAGGGCGCTCCAGAGGGGATAGAGAGGCTGGCTCCTTGGAAGGGCCCCTCTGGAGCCTGCCTGTTTACTCTGCAGAAGGTAAGGCCCCATGTGGCCCAGAGTGTGACTCCCTGTCAACTGTGGGGTGGGAACCACTGTCTCTGCCGAGTTGGTGTCCAGGGCCTTTGCATGTGCACATTGCTAGCCCAGCAGCCCTCCTGTGCTCTCTGGACTCCTGCAGTGGCCAGGCAGGCGCTGTGGGGTGCCGCAGCCCGTCCCCGAGCTCTGCCTGTGCCTGGCACTGGGCTCATTGCAGTCAGAACTGCAGAGAGGGTGAAGGCTGGTGGCGCCACCTGGCCTGGACAGCCAGACTCCTTCCTGCTGTTGGTGCTCCCGTGTCCTCACAGAGGCGTCCTGGCCTTGGAGAGTAGACTTTAATAATGAAGGGGAGAAAAAGAAAAAAAGAATGTTTTGCCTCGGTTGCAGTCTGACTTGAGGTGGGAGGTCACCGACGTGGCCCTCAATGAGGGGCTGCCCTGGGGGAGGGGCTCTCAGGCCAAGGAAGCAGGGGCTGGGGCTGGAGGTCTGAGACCTTGGCGGCTGCAGTCACTGTGAGGCGGGAAGGCCAGTGAGCCTGGCCCTGGAGGAGAGGGTAGAGCTGCCACTTGAGGTCCCCTCATTCTTGTGTGAACCTCTGCCACCGCATCAGGGAACTGAAGGCCACCATGAAGTGGCACCCTCCTCCACAGAAGCCTTCACTGGGCTGCTCCAGAAATCTCCGCCATGGCTGACGGAGGACTCTCAGCAAAAGAGTCTCTGCAAAAGAGTTCCATGTAGACAAACTGCCTATTTTCGTGTCGCCCTGTTTCACTTGGCCACTGGCCGGGAAGAAATGGGCACTCTGGGTGCTGGACACCCCCTTACTAGTTTTTCACAAACGTGTGTCCAGTTCAGTAGTTTGTGCAAACCAGGCCTCTGGCCTTGAGCTGGGCTCCACAGAGATGTCTAATTTCCAAGATAAGAGAAGTCACAACTGGGCCCCATGGTAACAGCTGGCAGGGGAGGAGAGAGGGGGAGAAGAAGCTCTGCCCTTCTCGGGTGCCCTTGAAGGGTTAACTTGCCCAGAACAGTGAAGGAAAAAGCTGCTTTATGTGAACTTCTGCAGACTGGGACCTTTACAGGTTGGGTATAAAACTCTGAAACTCCCTGAACTCGGGGTTCAGGGGATTGATTACAGCAGAAGCTGTGCCCCCTGAGCCTGGCTGCAGCCACATAAAACTGTCTCCTGCTGTCTTCGGTGTCTTGCCTCGTCTGTCCCTACAACAATCAGGGACATAGGGACAGGCCAGCACAGCACCTCCCCACGGCCATACAACACAGCCAGAGGAAGAGGGCCATGGCCACCCAAAAGTGACAACCCAGAACTGTCCCACAACACAACACAGCACAGCCACGGCACAGCTGCCGACCCTTGTGCACGTGGAGGGCCGGCTCCAGGACGGGGTGCTGGGCGGGGAGTAGGCCCTGTGTGCACCTGCAAGGAGACCCCCACGCTGGGAGAGGGTGCCTGTGGCCTTTCCCGTGGAGTCGGGTCTGTGCCCTGGCACCTGGAGGCAAGCTGGGCGGCCGAGGGCTCGGGCCCCACTCTGCGGTGCCGGGCTTGCTCCGAGCTGAGGGCTGGAAGGTTCCCTCGCGAAGCCCCACTACCCGCATTAGCTGTTTCCATCGTCCTGCCTCACTGGCCCTAGGGCCCATCACGGAGTGCACATCCGCCCAGGCCTCGGCCTGGCCCCTGGGCTTGCCTCTGCTGCAGACCCGGCTGCGGAGCTGCTGCAGGAGACAGTGCTGCGTCCTTCCCTGGCGTGCACCTGGTCTCTGTTATCCTCCAAGAGCCCCGAGGGGCCCCGGCGTCTCCCAACACATGGAGGGGGACTGATGGTGTGTTCCCCCGCCTTATCTCACTCTCCACCCCCCCACTGTGGCCATGTGAGGAGGGCGTTCCCACCTCTCCTGACAGAAGGCAGGGAGATGCTGGCCTGTGCCTGGCTCCTCATGGTCGCATGTGCACACCAGGGTCTCCCAGTGGCTCCCAGCAGCGCCCGAGCTTTGTGCTGGTGGAGGCCCCTTATCACTCTGCTCTCTGTCCAGTTCATGTTAATCACACAGGGATACTATTGCTTAACTGGCCATTTCCCTAACATAGACCCTGCATCGTTTCTGTTTTGTGATGTAATTAGTCTGTGATAACCCTGATTGACATATTTGTATCCTTGTTTCAGATTATTTAATTAAGGAAGGCTCCCCAAAATTCCTAGTTACCTATAATTCTCCAGAAAAAGAAACTACTTTACTTCAAATTGTATCAGCCCAGCAGTGTCTGAGAACGACTTTATTGCTACACTCTTGTTAGCTCATCCCTGAACTTGATCGACAGTGGCGAAACCCAGTTTCTTCCCGTGGCCTTCACTGCCCTGGCCTGGGGCCTGGGACCTCAGGCGCAGTGTCCTGTGCCACTTCTGTTCCCTTCCCAGGACATCGCCTGCTCCTGGCGGGACTGCCGTGGATCCTCAGTCCCTGTGGCCAGGAGGGGATGGAGTGGTCCTGCTGCTCCATGCCTGACCCCCAGGGGCTGACCCTCAGCAGATATGGCAAGTGCATCCTGGATCCCGAGGTCTCCCCAGAGTCTTTGACCTCCTACCTGTTGCCAGTCTCTGACACAAGGGTTTGGCAGATTCCAGACGCCCCAGGTGGCTCCTTCTTGAATCTCCCCGGGAAGCTTGGCCGTGACCTGGTCCCATGGCTGTGCCACGTCCCCCACTCCCTGGGAGGTTTTGGACTGGAGACCTGAGTCCTGTTGGCTGTTCTAGCAGCTCCCCTGGGCTCATGGGCGGTGCTGGCTGTGCCACTGGCTGAGTCACTCGACTGCAGGATGAAGTCTCATCTGCTAGCTTCCCTGGGGCAGGCATGGGTCACATGACTGTCCCAACAGGTGGGCACAGTTGGCCTGCCGTTGGTATGAGAGTGCATCCAGGTTCCCCCAAACCCTGCTTCCTCTCAACCCAACAGAGCATCTCCCCTGGAGGCAACGCGTCTGAACATGCAGGGTCTTCTGGCTAGCCCCGTGGGCTGAGCTTCAGTAGCCATTTGAAACCACATCCAAGGAAGGGAGGTCTCAGCTTACTCTGAGCTGGAGGTAAGGGAGGGATTTAGATATCAGAAAGTGTGCCACAAAAGCCCTTATTTGCTGAGTAGGGCTTTGGTGGCTGCCCCAGTGAGCACAGCTCTGTCACCAGAGGAGCAGACACAGGAAGGCGTGCGAAGTCCCGGCCAGCCAGGCAGCTGCAAAGGCCACAGGATCTTCCAGAGCCTTCTGTGCCAGGGCTCACTGTTTGGGAGAGGTGCCAGTGGATACACTCCAGGCCGTCCTTTCTAAGAGCCGGGTGAGGCCCGTCAACGGAGCTGGCCGTGAGCTAGTGTGCTGAACTCGTCTCCCCGTTTGTGAGAAGGAAAGAAGCCCGTGGAGCCTTTACTCTTGTCCTTGACAATAATAGAATTCCTCAATGATCCCTAGGTCGCGGGGACAAGCTCCTCTCCCTGCCTTCTGATGGCCACGTGGATTCTCTTGCTCACTGGCACCATGTCCAGGCCTGGCGGACTTTAGCTTGGACACAGGCTGTTGAATATGACATGCAGTTCCCCAGTGCAGGAGGAACTGGTCACCATGGGGCCAGGTCGGCCTCCTCAAGGGCTCAGGTTCCTGGAACCCACCATCGCCTTTCCCTGGCCACAGGGCTGGCCCTCCTGCACCACCGGAAGAAGTGACTTCTCAAGTGGCTTCTCCCACCCTCGGTTTGTCCTGCGTCCTCTGCACCCCTCACCTGCACCAGGCACTCACCCCACTCTCGCACTGACCTGCTGCCCTCAGCGGCTAGGAAGGCTTTGCCTTCTGCTGGACAACTATGGGGGCAGCCTCCTTGCCCCCCACCACAGACAGAGCCCAGAGAGGCCTTCCTGGGGCCACCTCTGCTCAGGTTGTCAGCTGGGCTGGAGCCTCTGTGGGCAGGCTGGCCTGTACCCACGCCCGGCGCCCAGGCAGGGGCTTTGGATCTGTGTGGGTGGCCAGGCCAGGCACTCCGGCTCCAGGAGTCTTGGGCCCTGGAGGTCTCCACAGTGGCCATTTCCAGGACCCTGACCTGGCAGGAGATGCCCATGCCTGTGGAGGAGTGCCCTGGCCGAGGACAGTGCAGAGGGCTCAACTCCAAGTCGTGGACATGCCACCCAGGGTCCAGGCAGTCTCGCCCTGCAGCTCCCCCCTGGCTCAGAAGCCATGTCAGGAGATGGCAGCAGGAGGCTCTGCGGTAATCCCATGTCCCACGTGCCCCTGCTGCAATGGGTTCTGGATCCCTGATAGGACCTCGAGGAGCCCTGGGTAACGTCCCTGTCCAGGGAGGGGCTGAGTCCGTGCATGGGACCCAGCTGGACAGCAACCACCAAGAGGGATTTAATGAGGAGTCTGCCCACACCCAGCTTGCAGAGGGCCCTGGGAGCCCCGGAGTCGAGTGACAATTAGGCGATGGGTGGGAGGTCAGGGAGCTGGTAGCCCTGGTTAATGGGAGGTGAGGGATCGTCACACCTGCGGCAGAAGTGCCTGGGGCAAACCGGAGGGAAAGGCTGGCGGGATAATCAGGAAGAGCAGGTGGTGCGCTCCTCGCCCAGTGGGAAGGGGTCCCTGGGGAGCCGCGGAAGCTGGAAGGACAGACAGGTGAAGGCGTAATGGTCTCCAGGGACCAATTGGGCCCTGCAAAGGCGCGACCTAGGTCTAATGCCTCTCCTGCCTCTGCCTTAACGATGAGACACACCTCCAGGGGAGGCAGGAGATGAGGCCCAGAGCTGCAAGTGGGAGGTCGCGTTGCAAGGGTGCCCAGGTCCCGCTCAGCCTCTCCTACTCTGCTGACCCCACCATGTTCAGGGATTCCACCTGCCACGTACTGGCTCCAACTTCAACATAGCCCCCCCACCCCATTTTTTACTGCACGGTGTTCTTTCGAAGGGACAAGGCACTTAGACTTGACCATGGAGAGGAGCATGGGTGACTACAGGGCACAGCTACAGGCGTGAGCCCTGGTGGTTGCACAGGCTGGAACGTGGGCTGGTCTCCGTCTACGTGGAGGCAGAGGGAGGAGGCAGTGCCCCATGGCAAGCTGGGAGAAGGACGGACGGCGGCTCTGAAGTGGGATGGACAGCCTTGGCGTCCCTCGGCCTCCGTCACACAGTGTGGGCACAGGCTGAGGTCCACGTGCCAGTGATGCTGGGCGGGGCTTTCACACAGGGAGGAACCGGGCAGGGACGCTGCTGTCCCGTGTCTGGACTTCTGGGCCAGGCTCTGTTACTGGAAGTAAATCACCAGAATTTAGTGGTTTCAAGCAACACAAGCTTGTTGTCTCCTGGCCCCTGTGGGGCAGGAGTCCAGGATGGGCCAGCTGGGGTGTGGCTCAGGGTCTCACGGCTAGCACTGGGACGTACCTAGTCGCACCTCAGCCAAGCGCCAGCCGAGCAGGCCCACTAACCAGATCGCTCGATGTTGGTGGAATCTATTCCCTTTGGTTGCACAGACGCTCGCCCAGCTTCTTGCTGACTGTCTGCTGGAGGCCACCTCAGTGCCTGGAGGTCACCTTCAGCTGCAGAAGGTCATTCATAGTTCCTTGCTTTAGAGGCGCTCCCACCAAGACCTCCCGCTGCATCCAGCCAACAGGGAGGGAGAGTCTTGCAGGAGAGGCTGCAGGGGAGGTGGAGTCTAGGCAGTGCGGGGACCCAGGGGTGTGGACTCTCACTGCAGGTGGGCAGTGCGGGGACCCAGGGGTGTGGACTCTCACTGCAGGTGGGCAGTGCGGGGACCCAGGGGTGTGGACTCTCACTGCTGGCACAGGCTGGCACTGAGGTGAGCTCCGGGTTCTGCCCAGACACAAATCAGCAGGGATTCCACAGGTGTGCGCGTCAGGCAGTGTGCTGCAGGGGCCTGCTGTGGTTCAGGTCTGGAGGGTGCCCCAAGGACCCAGTGTTGAAAGTTTGTCCCCGGGAGGCGCTGTTTGGTGGAGCCTTCAGGAGGCAGAGCTTAGTGACAGGTCTTAGTTCTGGGGGACATGCTCCTGAAGGGCACAGTGGGACCCAGACCCCTCTCTCTCCCTCCTGACCATAAGGTGGGCATCGTTGCTCTGCCATACATTCCCATTGTGAAGTGCCGCTGGCCACAGCCAAGGGCAAGCCACAGACGGAGACGGCACAGACTGAACCCTCAGAGGTGAAGAGACTCTGCTTTTCAAGTCGGTTATCTCAGGGTTTGTGTTGCAGTAGCAGAAAGCTGACTTGTGCAGGGCCCACCTACTGTCCAGGCACAAGTCACAACAAGACCTCCCTCTTCCAGGAGGCGCAACGGGAGGCGCATTCAGGCATCCAAATCCCACGACTGTATTTTGAGTTGCTATATTTTAGGATTTGTAATTTTGGAGAGGTTTTATTTAAAAAAATTAGTCTAACAGTTTATCCTTTCTAATGCCTTTAGTTTTATTTACTAAAATTGTCCGATAGTATTTTCGTCCACTCGGTTAGGACACTTTCAGGAAGAGAAGTCTCCCCCTACAAGCTCCTGAGCAGTGAGGGGAGGCAGGCATTCAGGAGCTCTGGCTTTGTCCTCCCCAAGAACCTGCATTCATCTATCTGGGGGTGGTGCACATGGAAGAAGGAGAGGCTGGGGGCGGAGTGGCCTGGGGAGGGTGGGATGGACGTCCACTGTGCAGAGCGCAGAATCTGTGCTGACTGACTGTCAGACATTCAGGGCCGGTGCACCAGGTGAGTATAAAATCAGCTATTCCCTCCTGCACACCTGCCCTTACCGCCAGCCCCGCTCTGTGCTCACCCTGGCTCCTGCCTTTGCCAAGGTCAGATGCCACCTGGCCTCCTGCACCTCCCACCTCGCCTCCCACAGAGCCCTTTCCACAGCTGCTTCATGTGCAGCTGGTTCCCCACCTGAACCAGTCAGGCCCTTCCCAGTGCTCACACCCTCCCCTCCTGGCAGGACCGTCCACCCTCCACCACCCCACCCACCGAGTCCTCAGCCGTCCCTCCTGCCTTCCTCCCCCATTGTTCCATTTCCAGTTTCAGCTAAGCCTGCTGATACCCTCCGTGGAGCCTTGGCCCTGCCCGACCCCTGCCGGCACTTGATGTAAGGTGACCTTGAAACGTCCTCTCCTGCCATCATCTCCGCAGCCTCGGCTTCGCTCCTCCGTGGGCCCTGCTCCACTTTCCCTGCAGCTGCCCCTCCTCGCTGGCCTCCACGCGGGCCCACCCTGGTCTCTGGTGAATTGCCAGTCTATACACACTTCCCACACGATCAGACATCGGGTTGCTCCTGAGTGTGCCAGTGTGAAAGCTCCCGTGCATACACCTCTGCGTTGGCCCCTCTGGCTTTCTCTCAGGAGATGTCTGTACATCGCCTGGTCCTTTCCGGCCCTGCCCGTGGCTCCTCCTCCTCGTAGGCAGCCTCCTCCTGCAGAGCCTCCCCAACCCCAGCTGGAGACCGCCTTCTCTCCTCTATTCTTCCTCCCTTCCTCCAAGACTCTCATGCCACCTGTCACTTCCAACCTCATGTTATGTAATTGCCAGCCACGTGGCTTCTCAGGGGCAGCCATGTGTCTCTCTGTGGTCCCCCGTGAGGTCCAGTCAGGCACCACAGCGTGAGGCCCTCTGCCCTTCAGCCCCAAGGCCAGTGCCTGCCCCATCGGACCCTGTTCCATCCACCTGAGGTCTGATGCAGTGATCGCCCGGGGCATGTGCAGAATCGCCCATGTGCTGTCCGGGGTGGCACAAGGATCCAGTGAGTGCAGCACAGCAAACGGCTGGAAGGGGGGTCTGAGGGGGACTTCCTCAGGGCAGGAGAAAGATCCAGCTAAAGGAAGCAAATAAACGGCCCCAAAGGAGCAGGCAGTGGCCATTGCCGTAGCTTCCTGCTGCTGTCTGACCTCAGCCACAGAGTAAGGGTGGCCGGCGTGCCTGTGTGTGGGAAGAAAGGTGTCCTGCAAGCAGCTCCCTGGAATCCCTTCCCAAACCTCCTGCAGACCCGGCATCTCCTCCTGTGCCCTGAGGTGGGTGGTGTCCAGGCTTCAGATGTGGAGATTTCAGAGCCTTAACCTGAGAAGCATTAGAAATCATCCAGATTTTTAGGGTGAGAATTATTTTTATCCCTTTGGATTTAGATTCAAAGCTGAACTTTCAAATTAAATGGATCTTGGGTGAAACAGCTCACAGATAGCACAGCGTCTCTGAGCCCAGGCACACACCCATGTCCAGACGCTCCTCCCTGGGGGGACCCAGGGACACAATGCTCATGCTGTCAGCGCGGTCCCTGCGAGGCTGCAGTCCCCTCGTTCTCTTCCCGAGTGCACTGAGGCAGGTCTGAGGTGGCCTCCCTTTCCATCCCCTCCCACTGTGACCATCTGGGAGACAACATCAGCATGGAGATGCTTCCAGAGAGGGTAGCAGCAGCTGATTTAAGTGAGGACTCCCCAGTCTTTGATTTTTTGAGGTCGCTGATGAGGATGTGAAAATTCAAAGACATGATCTGTATTTTACATTCCCAAATTTATCGCCGAGGTAGCAGCGTGTTGATGGGCCTGTCTCCTTGTGGACCTCCAGAAATGGATTTCCTGACATTTAGCTCTTAAAAAAAAATGTCTATGTGTTGCCTGTCAAAAGGAGGGTTATTTATATGTCCTGAGATTCACAGGTTCTCTCAGCTAATCTCCACGAATATTACTTGATGGGCCATTAGAGGCAAGATTTACTTGATATTTGTCCTTTTTCTAGGTCTGCACACTTATTTAGAACAGCATCCTGGACTCCGTACTGAGGAAGGCTGTAGGCCCAGCCGTCCTGCGCCTGGGCTGCTGCCAAGCATTGATTGTTCAAAGATAATAGCCTCCTCAGAAGCACTGTGGGCAGGGGAAGAAGCTCTGCTAGGTTAAAAATGAATAAGCAGACTGCTGGCCCTCTGCCGAGAAGAGACGGGTAAACAGCCAGGCAGATGGGACTGCAGGCCGGTCCAGAGATGCTGTGTCTTGCAGCGTACAAAGAGATGGGCACGTCTCAGCACTGTCTGTCCCCACCGCTGGGCAGGGCCTTGTGAGGGCATCTACCCTCTTTGACGACGTGGAGTGTGGGGGCTGAGGTGGCCCCCAAGTCCTAGGCCAAGTGAGATGTTGGCATCTGAAGTGATTTCCCATCTCTCAGGGGACCATGGGGCGGGGTCCACTTCAGGCAGCTGGCACACGGAAATGAGAAGTCAGGCTGCACACCAACAGAACCTGCATGATGCTGTCTGGGAGGTCGAGGTCCAAGCCTGTCCCCTCAGCCAGCCCTCCAGTTCTCGGCATTCAGTCCCCCCCACCCCGCTAGAAAATGGAGGTGTGGGGCAGGTCGTTCTCCCAGCCGACCTCTGATCACCTCCCGAGCATCAAGGTGACCAGGTGGGATGCCGTGATCTCTGGGCAGGGAGGGCAAGAGGCTCTGCGAGGGGAGAGCTCCCCGTGGGTCACTCTGCGAAGGTGAGATGTTGCTTCAGGGCAGGGGACCTGGGCCCTGGGTTTCCACCGCCCAGGTGAGTCCACCCCTCTCATGTGGAAATCGGGAGCAAACCGCACTCCTCCAGGACTCCTCCCCTCCTGCCCGCCCTGCGGGTGCCCAGCCCCCCTCCCACTGTGCCTCTGTGCCCTTGATTTGCGAATATGTGTCCCTCCAAGATTCACAGGTTGGGACTAGCCCTAGGTGCTGGTGTTAGACAGTGAGGCCTCCAGGAGTGGGCAGGTCTGAGGGCTCTGCTCATCAACGGGATTCGTCAAAGGCCCCGGGGACTAGTGAGACCCTTGGCCTTCTGTCCCTCATCGCTTGAGGCCACAGCCTAGCACCCTCTGGGAGGCAGCGCTCTCGGGTGTGAACCGGTGGCACTTGAAGGTGGCACTTGACCTTCCACTTGTAGGCCCCAGCACTGGGAGAGACGTGCCTCTCTTGGTTATGAGTCACGGCACTTTGTCCTAGCAGCCCACCCTCACTGCGCCACCCCTGCCACGCTTCCCCCGACTTGGATGGGGGTCGCCTGCGTCCTGGGTGGCTTCCTGGTGCTCAGCTCGCCAGCCCCTCGATCTGCCAGGAACACCAGGCTACCAATGCAGACACGTCTTTCTTCTGTCCTGCTCTGGCCAGATCGCCTTCCCCTTCTGGGAATTATTGCTCCTCGAACACCCACTGGACTCCCCTGCCGTCCGTCTAGAACTCTCCAGCAAAGCCACGGTCCAGGGCAAACCCAATTTCCTCTCCACACTTAGCCTGCAGCCATTCAGCTGATTACTCCTGGGGAAGCGTGCAACATGCTGGCTTGCCCGCCTTTCGATTCAGAGAAGGGTCGGACGAGAGTGGCCCTGCAGGCCTCTCAAACCTCCTGGATCCGGTCACATGCCTTCCAGACCAGCGGCCCTCACCTCCCTCGAACCCCACATCACCTCCTTCTCCCAACTCTGCCGATGACCTTGCTGCCCAAGTCACTGCAGTAGAGGTCTGCAAGCCCCACCCACCACGCTTGCCCCCTGCCAGCGGCTGCACCCACGCCCCCACCCTGCTGCCTGCGGGGGGGCCCACTGCAGATGGATGTCCCTGTGCCCGGCCAGAGCCAGCACCTCCCCTCTCACCAGCCCCATCCCCTCCCACCTGCTGAAGCTGTCCCTGCAGGTCCCTCTTGCTCCTGGATCCCCGTTTCCCTACAAAAGCCAGCGCTCGACCTGCCTCTCCCCCGCCTGCTGCTCCGCTGACCTGCACTCTCGGCAAGGGCACCTTCGAGTCCTCTTAGGAACCCCAGTCCTCTGCCCCCACCGGCCATGTGGTGTGCCACTGCGGTGCTCCTCTGGGGCTCCGTCAGCACCTGGGTGGCACAGACGTGCCGCTCAGAGGACACCAGGCCCCCTGGGCGCCCTCGCGCCCACAGCCCTTCCACAGCCCCCAGCAGTTCTGCTGCATCTTGAAGGCCCGTACGCTCTGGGCCTCAGCTCTGAGCTCAGCACCCCCTTTATTTACGTGAAGTCTCTGATGAAGCTGCTCCCCACGACCTCCAGCCCACACTCACCTTTGAACTCCTTTCCAGCTGGGTGTCCAACACCCCTTCTGCGTGGCGGGCGTTGCGGGCTCCCCAAGCCAGCGCGGGCGTCTGGTGCTCCGGGGAAGTTCTTCTCCCACAGCCTCCCCTCCTCAGGTGGAGACCTCCTCAGGGGAAAACCAGGGCCCATCTCGAGTCCTCTCTTAGCCGCACGTGCCAGGGATACGCTGGCCCATCGCCAGGCATGGCGGGAATCCCGTCCCTCTCTGCCTCCTCCACTCCAGCCTGGTGGGAGCCACCGTCCACTCTCAGCTGTGCTATGGCAACGGCCTAAGTGGCCTCTGGCCACTCCCTCACCTTGGGCAGCCTGTTCTGACTGGCATTCAGTCCTCTCTTGAGAAGGCGGGGCAGCCCGGGCTGGGGCTCAGTGGCGGAGCACTTGCCTACCATGTGTGAGGCACCGGGTTCAAATCTCAGCCCCACATATAAGTAATAAATGAATAGAATAAAGGTCAGCAACTGAAAACAATATGAAAACAGTTGGGGTGGGGGACATAGCTCAGTGTAGAGTGCTTGACTCACAGGGCAAGGCCCTAGTTCAGTTCCCAGCCTCGCCAAAAAAAAAGGCCGAGCAGCCCGCTCCATTCTGCTGCTCAAAATCCTCAGGTGGCCCCAATGTCTTTCTGGCAAAAGCCAAATTCCTTGTAGTGGCCCCAGTCCTTATGTCTGGCTCCTGTCACCTGCCTGACCCCAGCTCCAGCACACTGGCTCTGCACTGTCCCCTTCACAGGCATGGGTCACGCTGCAGCCTGAGGTCCTTCACGGCCATCCCGGGTGCCTCCCGCTCTCCACACTCTTCTCTCCTTGCCTCCCAGGCTCCCCTTGCAGGCCACTCTCTGGGGACCGCAGCTCACTTAGCCGGTCCTCCCCCAGCACACCCCAGCCCTCCCACTTCCTCCGAGCCTCCTCCTTCAGAGCGCAGACTTGGGGCTATCAGTCGGCCTCCTCCTAGGATATCACTAGCCACCAGGCGGGGACACTCAGCTGCTTAGGCACAGAACAGCCCTTGGCTCCAGGGCTGGGCGAGGTGGGGCTGCAGCTGGGGCTGTGTTGTAAAGACTCTGGGAGTGCGCAACGTGGGCAGTGGTGGCCGACCCGCCCAGGCGAGGGCCACTATGGGAGACGAGCTGAGCTGAATAGAGCTGGAGGGGGACAACACACAGGGCTGGGGTCCCGGACGGCTGCCCACGTGGCAAGGACTGAGGTAAGGAGCAGAGGAGGAGAATGCCATCCCCACGGCCTGCACGCCCAGGCCCAGCCCCGTCCTGTGTGCCTCTGGCTCTTCACCCAGCCTCGCCCAAACCGCCTCTTGTAAGGTGCCTGTTGATTTTCCAATCTATATAATGGAGATAGACAAAATGAAATAGCTTCAGGTGGCAGGAACCTCCACGAGGGGCCCGCATGGAGGGTAGCAGCCCGTGGACGTGCTCCACGAGGGCTGGCTGTCAGCACTGCCCCAGCAATCATCTGGGGCAGGTCGAGGTGGACCAGCTGGGGGGCCAGCCGCATGGAAGGACACAGACTCTGCCCGAGGGATGAATGGCTGGGACGCAGGCCTCTAGCTCCTCGAGGTCTGGGGGACTGAGTGCTGGGCTCTGTCCCTCTTCCCAGGACTGCAGTCTTCCACTCTGCCTCCCTCTGCTTTGTGTGAGTCCATTTCTGGGCCACCAACATGCCCTACCCCTCCAGGCCCAACCTGGCTCTGATTTCCCTCAGTTCAGTCACCCAGAGAGGCCGGCTGTGGCTGTGTCCTAGTTTCTGGCAACCAGGAAAGATGTCTGGCTGGCAGCCAGCCAGGCTCCTGCCCGCGCCCCATGACCACTGCCTACCTAGGTAGGTGAGCTCCCAGCTCCTGGCCCAGGCCACAGGCCACGGTCAGGGGCAGAAAGGCCTGGGTAGAGGTGGTGATCAGCCCACGTTAACCTGAGGGGGTCAGACCTGCAGGGACCTGGGAGCCCGGCCCTGGTGTGGAGCCACAGCTGACTGCGTGGCTTCTGCAGACCGTGAAGGCCCTCAGGGCCAGTGTCCTCACCTGGGCCTGCCATGACGTCACAAGGTTTGGGGATGGAGGACCAGGGGTGCCTGAGAAGACTGTCCTCCCCTCCTTCAGTTCTGAAGGACAAGGCGAAGTCTCCTCCCCCTGGGTCTGTGGACAGGCCGCAGTGATATGTGGGCAGCTCGCCAGGCTTGGCCAACGTGCTGAGAACCTAGGGTGGGGGACTGGGGGCCCGGGCACCTTCCGTGCCAGTGAGCCAAGGGGTCAGGGTCTAAGGCTCACCTGTGGCAGGTGCAGGCTCACCTGAGTTGCTGACCTGCCTGCCCTCTACCTGCAGAAGTCCCTGGTGGCTGGGCTCCCCTGGCCCAGCCCTGGCTGGCAGCGGAGGAGGATGGCTGGGGTGACAGAAGGCAGGGGGACTGGGCGTCTCTCTCGCTCCTCCCAGTGAGCACTCGCAGCTCAGGGGCTTGAGAACTGCGGGGACCTTGGGGAGAGAACAGGGCAAGGCTGGCCTTCCCAGGCAGAGGACCCCAGGAGCATGGGTGGCGTGTGGGGAGAGGATGAAGCCCGTGACTGGCAGTTGGGACCGAGGGCGGCCATGGCCACTGACAGTTGGCTGACTGTCTCCCAGGCCCTGAGGGACTCTTGGCAGTGGGTAAGGGGAAATGTCACATGGCCATGGTAGAATGAGAGTTCTCTGTTCTCTATGTCCAGCAGTCTGGGGAGCTGACCATCTTCTCTGCAGGAAGCTATTCTTCCAGAGCTGTGAAGTGGACAAAGCCCAGTCAGTCCCCAGTGGCTCCTCTGGCTTCTGGCACGCAGCCTCTCCTCATGAGCAGATGACACTCCCTGGGTGCTTTGGGAGGGAGACCTAGAATCTGGGACACTCGTCCCAACACTGAGATGCCATGGGGGCAGAGCTGTCCTGGACTGCAGTGCTCACTTTCTAGACAGGAACCGTCCCTCCTGTCTCCTGATGCCTCAGTCACGTCATGGGATGATGAGCCGCTCCCTGGGCCATTCCCTCCTCGAGGTCTCGTTCTGGTGACTTCCCTGAGACACTCAGCATGGCCAGGGACGGGCTGACAGAGCCTGCACTCTGGCTGGAGCCACTGGATACCAGGCCTCTCGTCCATGGCACCACACAGGCCATGTGACACCCAGACCTCCACATGCAGCTGGGTGGAGCCGGGCTCAGGGATAGGCAGGGAGAATGGGGCAGAGGACTTGGGTGGGCATGGACACTCTGAAAAGAGACCCGAGCTCCAAGGCAGGCTAGCAGGAGCGGCTGGATGGCCTCCGGCGGAGCGGCGTGCACTTGGCTTTGTGAACAGACGGGAAGGCTCCTGCAGGGACCTCGGCTGTGGAGCACGTGCCCTGAGTTTGCACAGTGACATGCAAGGAGCTGCCATCATTTAGCTCCCCTGGGGCCACAAGTTTCAAAGACAGGAGGTGGTCAGCACGCTGCCTCTCGTGTCCTCCTGACCAGGTGCCACAGTAGGTTCTCCTAACATCGACCGCGGCCTCGGGGCGCCCTGAGCACCTGGACGCTGTGTAGCTCTCCTTCCTCACGTTCCTAGCACGTCTGCTCATGGTCACACCTTGTCCCCGGTGTCCTGGGGGAAGGCCATGGGCTGGCCCTGGGTAGGCACACCTTGTCTCACTCTCAGGGAGCATTTTGACTGGCACCCTTGTTATGACCTGGATACGAGGTGTTCCCCAAAAGTTCCTGTGTGGGGCAATTTGGGGAAGCTCTGAGGTGCACGGGATTGGCTCACTGAACCCAATCAATGCCTTATCCTCTGGGTGGCTTGATACAAGGGAACTGAAGGACCACCAGTAGGCGGAGGGAACAAGCGGGCGGGGAGGACAGGGGACAGGGGGGCACTGGGCAATGATGTTCCAATCCTGCTGCGCTGTGCGCCAGAGTGAGATGCACAATGGACCACCTCCACGTACAGCTGTAGCCACCATGCGACAGACCTTCAAGGACATCTGCAAGGACAGCTGCTGGCGCTGAGTGCAGGCCGGTGGGCGATGCCGGGGAGGCCATGGGCTTGTCCTCTGTAGTCACACGTTGTCCTTGGGCTTGGCTGGGGAGGTCATGGGCTGGCCCTGGGCAGTCCCTCATTGTCCCTGGTGTCCTGGTGGAGGCCATGGGCCCTCTGTAGTCACATTGTCCCTGGGTAGTCACTCAATGTCCCTCGGAGGCCATGGGTTTGCCCTGGGTGTCACTCACTGTCCCTGGTGTCCTGGGGGTGGCCATGGGCTGGCCCTGGGTGTCACACATTGTCCCTGATGTCTTGGGGGGAGGCTATGGGTTTGTCTTGGGTAGTCCCACATTGTCCCTGGTGTCCTGGGGGAGGCCATGGGCCCTGGGCAGTCCCTCATTGTCCCTGGTGTCCTGGGGGAGGCCATGGGCTGGCCTGGGTAGTCCCACATTGTCCCTGGTGTCCTGGGGGAGGCCATGGGCCCTCTGTAGTCACATTGTCCCTGGGCAGTCCCACATTGTCCCTGGTGTCCTGGGGGAGGTCATGGGTTTGCCCTGGGCAGTCCCTCATTGTCCCTGGTGTCTGGGGGAGACCATGGGCTGGCTCTGGGTGTCACTCATTGTCCCTGGTGTCCTGGGGGAGGCCATGGGCCCTCTGTAGTCACATTGTCCCTGGGAAGTCCCTCATTGTCCCTGGTGTCCTGGGGGAGGTCATGGGTTTGCCCTGGGCAGTCCCTCATTGTCCCTGGTGTCCTGGGGGAGGCCATGGGCCCTCTGTAATCACATTGTCCCTGGGAAGTCCCTCATTGTCCCTGGTGTCCTGGGGGAGGCCATGGGCTGCCCTGGGTAGTCACACATTGTCCCTGGTGTCCTGGGGGAGGCCATGGGCTGGCCCTGGGTAGTCTTCCTTCTTTCTCTCTGCCTTCCAGCCACCAGGAGCTGAACAGCTCTCCTGTGCCATGTCCTTTGCTGGAACACTGGGGCCTAGAGCAGTGGAGCTGCCCAGGATGCTCTGAGCATCTGAATCAGTGAGTCCCAAATCAGCTTTCCCTCCTTTAGTGGTTCTTGTTGATATTTTGTCACCATGATGGACAGCTGGCTTACGCGCCCCTCTCATCACAGGGCTGATACATAACTGACCTCCTTTGCACTTGACTGTGGACCTCAGGGTAGGCCTGGAGAATGGGCGTGTGCTCATGTGGGAGGGCCTCACGGGAGGTTCGGGGCCCCATCTCAGCCTGACTGTGAACGCGATTCTGGCCGTCATTCAG